AGTCGCCTTGACTCACGGATAAATGTGTTTTCGGAGACGCCTGGGCTCCTCAAAGATTTAACACAGAACACGTTGTTTGGTTCTAGAGTGAACCAGCAAAGTCCCTCACCTACATATAAAACTATTTAAGACATTGTGAGGATTTTGAGACACAGCTTACCGAAAAGCGAATGGCTTTATTTGTTATCTGTGATATTGCAATATATTGCACTGTGATTATTGGATATTATCTCTTAAAATGAAGATGATTTTTATGTTGTACATGCAGAGTTGAGAGTTGTTTGAGAAAAATGGAAAAGATTATTGTTGGTTCTGGTTATTTATTTATTTATTTATTTATTTATTTATTTATTTATTTATTTATTTATTTATTTATTTATTATTATTATCATTATTATTATGTATCAAAACCAAGCTGCTACATGTATTTGGAGAACACATTTGAATAATTCACGTTAAGAAACAATCAATCTATGAACAAGGGTAAATAAATATAGTTAGTATACCCGTGATTTATATGCGATTAATGGTGATAGGTTCCGAAAAACTCGGAGATCAGGGTGAATTCTATTTTTCTTGAACGAAGTATACTGCACATTTTGACGCTGCTCCCTTTGTTTAGCGAGCTAAGATGTTTGAGTCACAGTTTTTCTTTTGTAAATAATAAAGTTTATTGAATCTTTTTAAAAGGGCGTAATTCTGGTTTTATTTGAACTTTGAAGAAAATAAATGATTCGTAGAAAATATGGCCATATCAAGAATGTCTAAAAATGAAGTTTTTTCCGGGTTGTTAGATTTTTATAGCACATACCGCTACGTTGTCGTTGCGCTAAATCGTATCACCTTTGGAAGTTTATAACTGACTACGATGCTTCAGTCACGTTCACAAATTTGCAAAAAGAAAATTATTCCTAATTACCCAGAATACAAGACAGAGATCATCCAGTGTATTGAAACCAATATGAACATTTAATTGACATCTGCCAGATTCGAGAGCATTTTAAATCACCAAATTCCAGTAACCAAATTCCTCAAATTCCAGTGACCGAAATGATTTGACGCTTCACACTTTCGTGCATGTAGAAAAATGAAATAAATGAATGAATAAACAAATGGATTTGGCATCTCGCGATGTATAAAATGTCAGACAGGGTCCACTCTGCGAAGGAGTCTCGTTTTTGGCGTATTCACTATTTAGTAGTGTTAAATGTAGGATTGAGTTCTTTATTGGGCCTTTTTTCTCACAAAACCCTAACAATTTCCACTAATGTCACCCGTTCTCTTCACCTTTGGCACAAATAACAAAAATTTTAGCAATGGAAATTGGAATGAATGTTGCAAATTGGGGATTATATCATTTGCGTTCCAGCGAGCGACATTAGCGAACATTACACTTGCACAACTTAACGAAAGGTTAATTGATATTGGGGCTACGGCGATGTGTACTTCGAAGAATATTCCAGTTTGTGGTGTAATAACATTACAAACTACACTGTTTACCATTTTTGAAGCAGTCGTGCGTATTTTATTCGAAAAAAAACGGGGTTTCTTCAGTAGTACACATGCTATCACGTCCACAGTCACAGTTCAAGAATCGAGCAGCGTTTTGAGAATTATAATGCTTTAACAGTTTTCGGGCAAACCGAGCACAAGGTGTCTAGTCCTTTAAATGTATTATTTGTCTCCATAACAAAAAAGTGCACTGAACCTACTATATTTTTGGTGTCATCGAAACATTTTAGGCCTATAGCATCTTTAACTGACACATCAGTTTTATGGTTCCTTTACAAAACACTCTATATGACGCAGAAGGAAGAATACATGTATGCTAGTACTTGTATGCCCTATATTCATTACGAACCTGTGATGAAACGAGGGAGAAGTATGAACAGGCTTACAGCTCACAATATTTACCATTAATTAAGTACTAGCTATTTTAACCTTTTAAAAAAGGCCACAGAAAACTTTTTCAAATTAACTTGTGCTCTGTGCAACATGATTCGTGAAATAAGCAGTAGACAAAAGTAAAGAAGATGGCTTAGCATAAACAAGTTTTAATGGACATTAATGTGTACGGGGACTGTGTAGAAGAACGCCCCCATTATTGCTTCAATGCCATGACAAGCTTAAGCCAAACACTGGTCTATGTGAAAAACCCATGTGTCGATGTCGTGATCAATATATATATATATATATATATATATATATATATATATATATATATGTTAGCACGTATACATAGTAAAACCTTATTCCGAGGACAATATCGTTTTGCTGTCATATCCAGCCTTCCGCAGTATAATTTTGGGCTTCATACTCGCCATGCAGCTCTCCGTCGGTCTGTTGCTGATGGTTCTTTTAGTTGCTTCTTTAGGTACGTGTATTGTGCTATAGATTACTATCTATTTGATCTCTCTCTCTTTCTCTCTCTCTCTCTCAAATATTCTAATAATTTTGATTTACGTTTCCGTTAATTTTATTTTATTTATTAGGCCTTTATTTTGTTTTGCCTTATTCATTTATTTATTTTAATTCATTCAATTTATTTTTACTGGTAATTGTTATTATCGTTATTGTTATTTATTCACAAGGTTTAGTATATGTTCTAATCGTCAAATATCAGAATAAGAATAATGTATATGTTCTGTGCGAATGAATGTATCTGCTTGGAATGTGGTAGCAGATCCAAGGATAATTTTCACTAGTTGGCATTTCACCAACTGAATGAAACAAACGTAAAATGTATAACGTTTTTCGAAACTTAGAAGGAACTCCGATGCGAAGGCGACTGGACCAGTTTAGCAAAATGATATCGCACGAGACGGGCCGTTCCTCTCTTGACTACAGTAGCTATGGCAACTGGTGTGGACTTGGGGGAAGTGGGGATCCAGTGGACCCAACAGACACGTAGGTAGTTTATGTGTGTGTGTGTGTGTGTGTGTGCGCGCGCGCGCGCGCGTGTGTGCGTACGTGTGTGTGTATGTGTATGCGTGCGTGGGTGTTAGTCCAGCATACATTAAACATATCAGTACACATGAATGGCACGCGTGTGTTAACTGTTATACGTGTATTGAATATACCTTTTTGCAACTTGCAATCCACCAGCACACTCACAGGAATCACAGGGCAGTATGTTCGTTAAAGAAAATTTTATGTTCACAAAAATACAAAAACACTTCTCGGAATTCTCGTTGCACAGATGCCACATTTTCAAGTGAATTCTGCCTTGTCGGAGTTTCAGAGCCGACGCTAACCAGCTTCTGCATTTTCAAATTTACAAACGTGCGCGTGTGTACGGTACATGTAGTTTGATAATCTGGCAGACATTGGATCATAAAAATGTTAACGCATAATTAATTTTTTCTAAGGATAACAGTGTATCATCTATTATTATAATTCAAAGTTTTCGATTCTGTATTAACTGACTGTGCTGGCATTGTTTAATTTTATTAAAAAATATCTCATGACCTTTGTCATTGTCCAGGTGTTGTAAAATACACGATCGCTGCTACTACAACGCCAACCGTGCCGAGTGCAGCGCTTGGGTGAAAACAAAACCATATCTCAACAAGTATCAGTGGGAACTGGGGGCAGGCGGCATCGTTTGTTGTAAGTAGTGGTTAATGCAATTTTTAGGGATTAAATGTGTTTTTAATATATGCGTGTTTATGTGTGTGTTTGTGTGGAGAGAGAGAGAGAGAGAGAGAGAGAGAGAGAGAAAGAGAGAGGAGGATCTTTTTACAGCAGATAATGATGCGCATTTGATATACCTTGAAATGTTCGAGATTCGTTTGACGGGATCAATCGCCCTCTTGCCTACATTTTTTTTCTAATGTATTGTTGTTATGCTAAGCTTATTGAGTTTAAGACGACAATTCTCATTGCAGTGGACACCCCGGCGACCTCTTGCATGCGGGTAGTGTGTGAGTGTGACAAGGCGGCCGCGGAGTGTTTTGGTAGGCACGTGGCCACATACTCGAAGACGAACCAAGGGCTCTTGAGTAGCCTTTTTGGAAAATGAAAATGATCCCAGTCTTTTGCAGGTGATAGACTTTTAAATTGAAACTGAACTCTGTGATATGTAGAATGCTGTCAGTTTGGATAATGCATAATAAAGAAATCTGTCAGGTACTCCTGCAAGTATGATTTTTTTCTTGATAGCGACATCAATAACTTTCAAAAGCAAATATTCCATGAGGATGAAATCTGAATTGCACGATTTGCAGTGAATATGAAGATACGTTATAATAAAGGTGAAAGTAAAAAAAAAATTATACTCCTCTAAATTCGATTTTTAAGCGCATAATGATGAACTTTTAAAAAAGTTTATTCTCAAAAACGTCAGAAAAACAAATAGGCCTATAAAACGCTGGTCTTGAACTACCCAAAGAACCCGACTAATAGAAGGTCATTCTATAGAATACATTGAAAAGGTCGTCACGACTTTTCTTACCTCATTCTCTGAGAACCGCCAGATGTCTGTACCTCAGCAGTGCAGCTATCTGCAGGTGCGTTCAAAATAGAGTAATTTCAGATTGAAGGTCGCCATCAGAAGACCGGATTCTGCAGGCGCAATTGACAATTTCTGTAGCCTGATGATCTGACGACGCGAGGTGGACCGATTTCTCGTCTTAAATAATTTGAAAGAGAGCGCTGCCTGTCGCGTGGGCGAGGGTAGCAGGGATGGTTTCACGAGCAGAGTTCATTACAGGGTCAGTATTCACAAGCATGCAGGCCAACAGATTAGGGCTAGTTTTTCTCGTCGTCCTAGGCAGCTGTAAGTACATGTATAGGTGGCTTTTTAAAAAAGATAAGAAATGGATTTGCTGAATTCAAGGGTGAGTATGATTTAGGAAAGGGGG